AGTCACAAATCACTTCCCGAAGCTAATCGAACCAACGGAACTCACTTTCGAGCCTTCTAACACATAAGTCAACATCCAGTTGACTTTTCTAACTTAAGCCTTCTTAAAAGAGACTAAGTGTCTCAATTTTCACCAAACTCATTCCGGACTCGATTCGACAAACCCGATACCACAAAAACACGGATAACGAAGCATAAAGAAGCTAAAATGGGGGAAACAGAGCGGTAACTCATAAGACGACTGGCCGGTCGTCACATCCTCCCCAACTTAAACAAATGTTCGTCCTTGAACGAATCAAGAAACATACCTGAAGCCTCAAACAGGTGAGGATATCTGCTCAGCATCTCCCGCTCGGTCTCCCAAGTAGCCTCCTCCACGGGTCGACCTATCAACTACACTTTCAATGAAGCTATATCCTTTGACCTCAACTTCCGAACCTGACGACCCAAAATAGCTACTGGCTCCACATCATAGGTCAGATTATCATCTAACTGAACCGTGAAGAAATCCAAAACATGAGACAGATCCCCAATATACTTCTGGAGCATAGAAACATGAAATACCGGATTCACACGCGACAAGCTGGGTTGCAAAGTAAGCTCATAAGCCACCTCCCCAATCCTCCGAAACACCTCAAAAGGCCCAATGAACCGAGGACTCAATTTCCCTTTCTTCCCAAATCTCATAACAACTTTCATGGGTGAAACCTTCAACAGAACCTCTCGCGAACCATGTAGGACACATCTCGAACCTTCCTATTAGCATAACTCTTTTGCCTCGAGTGCACTGTACGAAGCCTCTCCTGAATCACTTTCACCTTCTCTAAAGCATCCTGTACCAAATCAGTCCGCAATAGCTTGACCTCACCGGGCTCGAACCAACCAACTGGAGATCTGCACCGCCTCCCATACAAAGCCTCATATAGAGCCATCTGAATACTCGACTGGTAGTTGTTGTTATAAGAAAACTCTGCAAGCGGTAGGAACTCATCCCATGACCCTCCGAAATCAATAACACAAACACGCAACATGTACTCCAATATCTGAATAGTACGCTCGGACTGCCCGTCCGTCTGAGGATAAAAAGCTGTGCTCAACTCAACTTGAGTACCCAACTCTCTCTGCACGGCTCTCCAAAACTGCGAAGTAAACTGAGTACCTCTATTTGAAATGATGGAAACTGGAATGCCATGCAAACAAACAATCTCCCGGATATAAATCCATGCCAACCACTCTGAAGAATAGGTAGTACACACAGGAATGAAGTGCGCGGACTTGGTCAGCCGATCCACAATTACCCAAATAGTATCAAACTTCCTCAAAGTCCGTGGAAGTCCAACAACAAAGTCCATAGTGATTTTCTCCTACTTCCACTCAGGAATATCCATCTATTGTAGCAAGCCACCCGGTCTCTGATGCTCATATTTCACCTGCTGACAATTGAGACACCGAGCTACAAATCCCACAATATCTTATTCATTCTTCTCTACCAATAGTGCTGCTTCAAATCCTGATACATCTTCACGACACCCAGATGAATGGAATACCGCGAGCTATGGGCCTCCTCCAGAATCAACTCCCGAAGCCCATCCACATTGGGCACGCAAATCCGGCCCTACATCCTCAACACCCCATCATCACCGATGGTCATATCTCTAGCATCATCATATTGAAATCTGTCCTTAAGGACAAGTAAATGCGGATCATCATATTGGCGCTCTCTGATGCGATCATATAATGAAGACCGAGACACCACACACGCCAAAACCCGACTTGGCTCTGAAATGTCTAGTCTCACAAACTAATTGGCCAAGGCCTGAACATCAACTGCAAGAGGTATCTCCCCAAGTGGAATACATGTCAAACTCCCCATACTCACTGCCTTTCAGCTCAAAGCATCGGCCACCACATAGGCCTTTCCCGGATGGTACAATATAGTGATATCATAATTCTTAAGCAACTCCAACCATCTTTGCTGCCTCATATTAAGATCCTTTTGCTTGAACAAATGCTGAAGACTCTAATGATCAGTGAACACCTCACAAGATACGCCATACTGGTAATGCCTCGAAATTTTCAATACGTGAACTATGGCAGCCAACTCCAATCATGAACGGGGTAGTTCTTCCCATAAGGCTTCAACTGACTAGAAGCATAAGATATAACTCTACCCTCCTATATCAACACACAACCAATCCTAACTCTCGAAGTATCACAATACATGGTATATGAACCTGAAGCTGATGGCAAAACCAACATTGGAGATGTGGTTAAAGCTGTCTTGAGCTTTTGAAAGCTCTCCTCACACTCGTCCAACCATACAAATGTAGCACCCTTCTGAGTCAACTTGGTCAAGGGCGATGCGACATATGAGAATCCCTGAATAAACCAGCGATAATAGCCTGCCAAACCATTGTGAATCTCTATGGATGATTCTGAACTTTTCCAACTTAAGCCTTCCTAAAAGAGACTAAGTATTCCAAACTTCACCAAACTCATTCCGAACTCGATTCGACCAACCTAATACCACAAAAATACGGATAACAAAGCATAAAGAAGCTGAAATGGGGGAAATAGAGCGGTAACTCATGAGACGACTGGCCGAGTGATCACAATAAAATTGCATTTTATGTACATAATAATGATACAAACAATGAAATAGATGAAATAAAAGAGTATCAATCTGTTAAATGGATATTACCACCTGAAGCTGCATGACGTTTATTTGGTTTCTCTATTAGTGAGATGTATCCAAGTGTTTATCATCTTCAACTACATCTTAAAGGGCAACAATTTGTTTCTTTTAAAGGTAATACACATATAAACACAATCGTTAATAATCCAATGATTAAAAAAATAATGTTGACAGAATTTTTTCAGATGAACAGAAGTAACAAAGATGCCATAAAGCTTAACTTATTATACAATGAATTTCCTGAACATTTTGTATGGTCAACAACAGACAAAACGGATACGGCGACAACAACGTTGTGTCGTTGGTCGTATCGTAACGTGTCACCCAACTGAAGGAGAATGATATTATCTGAGACAGCTATTGCTGAATGTGAGGGGACCAAAATCATATAAAGATCTTCAAACTATAAATGGGGAACATTATAATACTTTTAGAGAATTTACAGAAAAAAGGGGACTATTACATTGTGATAAAATTTAATTGATTGCATATCAGAGGCAGCAAGTTATCAAATTCCATATAGTTTAAGGCATTTATTTGCTACATTATTGATGTATTGCAATCTAGACAATCCAAAAGAAATATGGAAATAATTTGAAGAGTCAATGTCAGAAGATTACAAAGTGTTACCTAATGTTGAAAGAAAAGATATTCAATATCAGGTTTTAAATTAGATTAATGATGTTTTACACTCTATGGGTCATAATATAAACGAATATGAGCTTTTCCCAGAAACAGTCTGACCATCTATATTGGAAAAACAAGCAAAGGAGATATTCTTTGAAAGAACCATCACGGTTAGTGAAGAGGATATATTGTTACATAAAAAACTAAACACAAAACAATTAAAAGCATAAAATGTGATTATTGACCGAGTATTTTCCAAGAAACCAAGAGCTTTTTTTATTTATGGCCCTGGAGGAACTGGAAAAACTTTCTTATACCGTGCTTTACTAGCAACTGTACGTAGTAAAGGATGCATAGCTCTAGCAACTGCTACTTCTGGCGTTGCTGCTTCTACTCTTCCAGGTGGGCGAACTGCACATTCACATTTTAAAATACCTATAGACATTGAGGAAAATTTCAGCTGCAACATCAACAAACAAAGTTCAACTACTGGTCTGATTCGCGATGCAAAATTAATTTTATGGGATGAAGTATCTATGGCTAAAAAAAAGAATGCTTGATGTTTTTGACTTGCTCTTAAAAGATCTTATGGATACAAATATTCTATTTGGGGGAAAAGTTGTTGTTTTTGGAGATGACTTTAGACAAACTCTTCTTGTTATTCGAAATAAAAAAAAGAAGATTTTATTGGAATTGGACTTATGAGGGCAAAAACAGATCCTTCTTTTTGTGATTACCTTATGAGAATTGGAATTGGACAAGAGAGGGTCAACACTAATAACAAAATTGAACTTTCAGATTCTATAATTATTACTTTTACAACTGAAGAAGAATCTCTGGACCATTTATTCGTTGTGACAGTCTCAAATGTACACACATGCTCCTCTAATCCTTTTTTTGCAGATTCTCGCATTGTTCTGACGACGAAAAATAATTTTGTGAATGAAATCAACGATATTCTTATAGCAAAATTTCCAGAAAAAGCAACTACATTTGTTGGCTTTGACGAAACCGTTGCATAATGATCAAAGTCAATTTAAAGACCTATTACACAGTTTAAATCCTGCTGGTTTACCTTCTTACAAATTAACTTTAAAGGAGAATTGCTCCATTATATTGCTGCGTAATTTGAATCTGTATGAAGGTTTATTCAATGGTACACGATTGATATGTTGTGATATTAAGACACATGTTATTAGTGCTAAGATCGCGACAGGAGATTTTAAAAATAAGCACGTATTTATCCCAAGAATACCATTATTATCATCACAGGACGAAAGAATAGCAGTTCAATTTAAGAGAACACAATTCCCAATAAGATTATTCTATGCTATGATTATAAATAAAGCGTAAGGTCAAACTTTGGATTTCGTCGGAATATATTTACGAGAACCTATTTTTTCACACGGTCAACTTTATGTTGCCTTATCGAGAGCAAAGAGTTCAAGTTGCGTCAAAGTACCGATCCGACCGTCCACACTAGCCAACCGTGATGATCATTCTACATACAACATTCTTTATGACGAAATCATCCAAAGAGCGTCCTTGTAAGTGTTCCGCTACCCCAAGATAGAATAATTTTTTTCGTTTTATTTTGTTTGTCGTTTTATTCACGTACATTTTGTTTCATTTTTTATTAATCCTTGAGTAGTTAAACAAACAAACTTATAATGCTCTTGGCTCTGTAATATTGTCGTGTTGCTACCTTTATTCTTGTGCTACGTAATTATTCTCTGCCAATTCCTACTCTCCATTTTCTTTGATTTACCTTTTTCTTTTTCCCCAGATACTTCCATTTATCTATTACAGAGAGAAACTAGCAAATTTAGTTGAACTTCTCTCAAAATTACAGTAAATGAAAGGATTGGTGATGCTCTATTCTTGCTGTATTATTATTTACTCTATCGTTACGTGTGTTATATGAGATGGATTTAATAGTTTTCTGTTGTTGGAAAATCCAATGTAGGAGGCTTGAACCAACTTCCAGTGTACATTCTATTTGAGAATGCTATAGAGGCCATGCGCTTTCAAGAGATTGATTCTGAACCATATGTTTTTGCTCCTACCATTATGAAGGTATTCTTTGATACGTCCTTGATCAAGATTGATTTGTTTTGGCTCTATTTTGGGTGTTGCTCTTTAGCTTACTATTGTTTCTACTTAGTCTTTAATCAAGATTAAATTTTTTTTGCTCTATCTGATTTATCCAATAAAGTATTTTTGCTGAATTTGATGTACAAGTCCAATATTTTCATATGAAAATTCGTAAAAAAGAAAAAAGAGAAAAGTTGATGCCTCCTTTACCATTTCAACAATTGAATGAGATGGGGGATTTTTTCTCTAATTTGATTTGGTTGGTCATTGGTAAAGGGTCTCTCTATTTGGTATTGAATTGGCTGGTGTCAATCTTGAACTGGACTTGATATCAATCTTTTATTTGGTATTCCATAGTGATATAAGAAAGTATCCTCTTATGACTTTGGAATAGAATTTGGACTCCAAAGGTCTCTTTGAATTTTTTACTTTTCTCTTCACATGTCAAAATTAACATCTTTCCCTGTTGTTATGGATAGATATGGATCTCCACTGCTTTATTTACAGCAGACAGACTGAAAAAAAAAGTATCATTGGTTTGAAGAGAGAGTTTAAGGATGCATCCTTTTCACTATAAGACATGCTTCTGCGCCTTCATTAGTAGTCTATCATATTTTTTGTTTGAATTAATTAAATTATTGAATATTGGAGTGAAATTGGCCAAAATAGAGAATGAATAATAAGGCATAGTTGATGTTATAGGGTCGGCTCGATAATTAAAAACATTCAAGAGTCCCTCAAATGCATGCTTTTGGTTGTTATATACAGTTGTAAAAGTCAAGCATGTTTCGTAGCGTTGAGTTTTGGAGAAGGTACATTTTTGCATAGTTGTCCCAGGAGAAAGAATATAACACTAGAAATTTTGTAAAAGCATGTTACTTAATATTTGCTAGAAATATTTCTAAAGCTACTTATATTATGGGTTTTCCAAATTAAAAGTAAAATTTAACTCCTTAATTTGATAATAGACAAACTGTTATTTGAAATAAGGCTCAAATTCAGGTGAAAAATTTAAAAATGAGCTTGTAATAATATACTTTTTGGACACACTATTATTAGGTATTTTCTAAATATTCGAAGAAGTGTTATCAGTTACCTTATGAAAAAAAATACTCGAACAAGTGCTTTTCCACTCTAAAAGCTCTTATATGCTGCATTCCTAAAAGATGCGAAGTGAGTCAATATGACTTTAGATTAAAAAATTTATGTTACTATTTTATAGAAGCTTCTTATATAATAGAGAGTTATGATACACGAGTCGTTCATCAAAATAAAGATTTATACACTTGCCTGGTTTGAGGTAACAGACTTAAAGGATGGTTAGTCAAAACAGTTAAACGTTGCTTAAAATTACTTCTTGTTCTCTTCATTCTCCAAATATTGATGTTAGTTTAAAGTTGAAATCTTTGAATACTTAGCTGTTACTCAGCATTAATGAAATCATTTTTACCTGTGTTTCTTATAATTTTCTAATTTCAATGTTAATCAGTCATCACCTATATTAGACATTAGACATGCTTTTTTTGGTGAGCACCAAATTACTCTATCAGTCATTAGAATGTTATTTCAAAGGTTATCTTCTTGCAATACAAAACCAGCTTGCTCTGGAGAAAGATAGGTACAAAATTCATCTAGCTTTTATAGCTGCTCAAGAGAATTCCTTGATTGTATCTGACAATGAGCAGGTATCGAGACGCTTACCAGTTATAATAGTTTGCATTTATTGAAATGGCGAAATGTTATCATTTTTCTTATAATTAGTTGGAACTTACAATTCTTACACATCTTGCTAACTGCAAGAGCATGTTGGATGCTTCCAGAGCTGGTGGAGACTTCCATTTAAGGACTGCTACAAATATGTATCCTCGCATCCATGAAGCCGTTGAAAAAGCTCAGGTACTTCTTAAATGGCATCTTCAACCAGCTGAAGAAAAGCCACCATGCTTAATATGTTTGACTTTTCTCCTTTAAGGTTCTTTTTGTTGGCTAAACATGGCCTGGAACTGAAGTAGTTCTCTGTCTGATTTTGATTTGGTAATTGAAGCTAACGGTGTGATTTCAGTTAATTTACTGGTGTATTTATAGTTGGTTATCATGTTATAGTAGGTGATTTGCTTAAGTGGTTTTGTTGGGTTTCTTGCTGTCTTTGTTTCTTAAATTGTACTCAAATGTTTGAGGAATAATTTGACTTGCTTTTTCTTATTTGGTGATTTGATGATGATCCTACCTTTTTTTGGTTTCCTGTTTTTTATTTTGTTATTATTGACCAAGCAGCTCTTGTGCGGTTGCATTTCTTGTGTTTGTGTTTTTTCTGTCTGATTAATTTAGTAACAGAGCACAAAATTATGATTCTACTTTTGGATCTTAATAGTGAAAACATCAGCTTGAGCATTAGTCCAACTAGAGAATTGTTCTTGTCAAGGAGTTGAACTATTTGAATAATGGTTTCTAACATTTAAAAAAATTGAATTTGCCCTTTGTACTTGTGGTGTTTTTATTATGTTATTCTAATACTGAGATATTGTGTAGTAGTATATAGAAAAATACTATTTGGCGATATTGAATTTGAAATGTGAAAATTATCCAGGGATAGAGGTGTGCTTTCTTCGATCAAACTGCTGGTCAAACATGGGCTCTCAAATTAGATAACTTAATCTGTTAGTGGGCATGGTTTTTGCCATTGTTTTGATGATTCAGTATCTTGGTTTCCCATATGGGTAGAAAAAATAAGAACAGTAGTGGATTCACCCCTATGATTATCAGCCAAAGACTCTTTGCGAATTAAGTTTTGAGTTATAAGTTATCGAAGTCTTTGCTCACATATTATGGTAAAGTTGTTTTGTTCAGAGGCAAATGAAAGTAAGCATAAAATATCACTTTATGATCTGAACTTTATTGCTCTTGTAAGCTCATATTGACCTATCTGTGCTCACTACTACGGTATCTGATAAGCAATTTCCCTCATATTTCTTTTTTCTATATTTACAAGCACTAATAACTGCAAAACAATACCTATTATGGATGGTAAAACTTTTCAGATTAATACATAGAAGATAAGATAGCTGTTTCATTTAATAACCATTGTATTTTACACCTTGTCAGCTACTTCCAAGAGGGAAAATTCCGCTTCTTCAAAAGAACACGAATTTTGTGCAAGAAGTTAGATTTATTGGAATTTTCATACATGATGCTTTTGCTCCTAAAAGAAAGAAGGCAAAAATGCTCAATTTTGTTGCTGCGTACGAGAGAACTACTGTTAGACTTGCCCCCAAATAGAAGGTACTTCAGCATTTTGAGACAAAATATATGTTTAATTTTCTTGATTTCTATAGAATTTGTTGGGTCTGCATGAGCTACAAGAAAACATAAAGAAAGGTAGTATAAGGTAAAATTCTTCTTGAATTACTGCTCTTATTAAATTTTACTTGTTTCACTGTTAACTGCCCCCTTAAAAATTTTGTCTTTGCTTATTTTTTCTTCTGTTTACATTTAAAAACTGTCTATGCACCATTCTTCTTCTTCTCAAATCTTGCTCTGTCATTGCCATGATTCTAAACCTCATATACTCGCCCTTATTTCAATGTTGCTAAAGATTATTTGACATAAAACTTTATCATCTTTTTGACAATAATGCTAATTGCTATCATTTTACACAGGTTTGTCAAGATGCTACTGGAAAGTTATAACTTTTTGTGTAACAATATGAATTAGAAATAGAAAGATTAGAAAAAATAACATTTATGTAGTAGCTATGTACGGTCTCCTATTACTCTGTAACATTTTTCTAACAGATCTGTATCTTCTATTGCTGACAACAGTATAACTTTGTTCACGTTGGGACCGGGGCAAAGCCCGAGCTACCCCCACTAGTATAACGAGAAAGATCAGATCACTTCACAGACAATAATAAACAAGAATCAAGGTACAAATACCAACATATGCTTAGCTGAACACCAGAAACAGTCTTATAGCTTGAAAATATAGTCTATAGAAAGGTAAAAGCTCAGATTTGGGGTAAGGTTGTGTACATATCACCCTCCTTAGACCCCACATGTGAAAAATTACTGTGCTGTTATTGTTGTATTTGCGCTATAAATATTCGAGTAAAGCTTGAAGAAAATATGGAATGGAAACCCTATGTGCATTTGGTGGTTCATATGGAAAGACATGAGTTTCTTTTCTTTGGAAGATGTACTAAATCCATGCTGAAGATCAAGAGTAATTGTATGCTCTTGTTGTAGTTTTGATGCATGAAGGAATATGTAGGAGGCTAAAACATCACTAATTGCCTTTAGAGGTTCTTTCCACCGCTAAAAAATTATACTTTTGCTTTTTGGAAAAAAAAAAGTTCGAGAAAAGAAGTTCTAGGCTTTACTTCAAATGGCACATTAATCAAACTATTGGTTGAGTTAATGCATCACAAGAACTATATGCAAGCATCAAAAATGATAATGTTGGGACCCTGCAATAACTTAATGCAAAGAGTTAAAGAAAAACAGAAATGTGCTGCAGCTTATAGTGCAATTAAAATTTGAATGAAGTTTCAAGTATTGTGAAGAAAAACAAGTAACATTGAGAGATATAATAACATATGAATACTTTAAGAATTCATGAGCCTTTCCATGACAAACTTATGAACTTTAGGAGCATCAATAGTTACTGCCACTTTGACTGAGTGTTTGTTAGACTATTCACTTGCTTCAGCAAACCTTGTAAACCCAATAGAAGATGTAGTAAGTAAAGGATGAGATAAAATTCTTTACCTAACCAAGGCCTTTGAGCCATTTCAAAATTCGAAAATGGTCATACCTTTTGATTATCTAAGGAGAAGCACCGATAATAGCTAAACTCCAAAACACACTCCAAAAAGGGGAAGAAGAAATTTTCAAGTGCTTAGAAAGGTTAAATCAAATGTAAGAGGAAGTAGTAAAAGAATAAAAAGGTATTTAATACATCAATAGACACTATTGAACATCTTTTGTTCATCAAAGTCCTTATTTTGTTGAGTCCAGGATAGCAGGACGTGGACCTTGACCTTTCACATGTTAAACAGTTAAAGAGTCAGAGTTCTTCTTATTCAAGGGTATCAGTAAAAGGGCAAGAATACAATCAAAGAACATTTCCACACAAAATGTAGGAACAGACAACACATCACTGTTTATTTTCTAGGATCCAGGTGTAGATAAAATTATTTGGTCACGCGAGAATATTGAACAATTTCAGCTAAGATTAGCTTACAACTCATTTGTATCAGCACAAAAATTTGGAAACCTCTCTGGCCTTGGCCATGGAAAGAATCTCAAAAACATGTGATACATATAAAGTAGCATGCTTCAGCTGCCTAGGTTAAAGAAAAGAAATACTGACTAAGAACATTTTAAAGAGGACAAAATGGCAAATATACAGTAGCAATTTCATGTATGAAAGAGCAGTTAGACTCACACATATAATTGACTGATATAACTAAATACCTGTAACAAGCATAACTAATCAACTAAATTAGCAATATGACATCTATGACAACACAGCCGCATTTCACTATAATATACTTTCCATTATCATCACGTTCACGCAATTACACAAATAGAAAACTATTAGAAACCCAAAAGAACCACTATATTAAGAATCAGATACAGAATGCAAAAATATTGAACATGTTCTAATAAGAAAAATACACTCTATGAATAAAAAGTTTGCAACCACATCTAACTACACCTATATTCTTCCTCGCAACAACGCATATAACACCATTATATGTGCAACTCAAAATGCACAGGTGTATTCTTAACTACATTTGTTACCTCAATAGCTGCCCACATATGTTTTAACTTTTCTTGCTTAATATCATTCCACGATGATACTCCCAAAGGACACATATTGCAGTCACGAACTATTTTTCCCAAGTGCCTCGAAAATAATTTGCTCTTTATTCCAACCGTTCGATTGTTGTAAAAGGTTACTTTCAGCTTTTATCCGACTTCAAGTGATGCAACTTCTTTGCACTTGTTCCTACGTCGAACTCCTTTTACCTTTGCAGGATTAGATGAACCTACAATTGTATAATTTGGTAAAAACTATAGCAACAAAATTTAGTTCAAGAAATTACATACATGGATTCAAAATGCCATACATGTTTCAACTGTTTGGAAGTGTTGCATAGGAAATAAACTTTTAATTGGTATATTCTCTTTTTCAACCAAAGATCTAAGTCCTTGTCCACGTTCTTGTCCCTTTCTCTGAACTATTGTTCATGCTCTGGAAAAAGATAAAATATGAAGACACTAACATTAAATGGAAGGAACTCGATCTAAAATGCCACTTCTCTTGCCAATTCACAGCTGATTTGATTGCAATGAATTCAGCAGATTTCATTATAACAAGCACATATCAAGCAAAAGCTAGAAGGTAAGAATTGGAACTACGAAAGCGGAGAGCTAATAATTAGGCACTCATATATATTTCAGCATCGCTCTTCCACTACCATTGAATACATACCACTACTCAGTAAATATATTTGCCTAAAAGTTTGCAAATTTATGAATCTCATTCTTGAATACTTCAACATATGCAGCAAGGATAGACAATTATTGATATACAATTGTTCCCTCTTTTGAGAACTATCCACAAATACAAATAACATCATTGAACATATCAGCTTCCAAACAAAACTTAACGTTAAACTTTTAGCCAACTAAGATGAGGAAGTAAAATTTACAAGCAGCTGGTGAACTTTTAGTTATTCAAGAAATAATTAGCTTTTTTTTTTAAAAAAAGCTACAAATATGAATTAATTAATTCGCCAGACACATAATTCTTCAGACACACAATACGCGAAATATATAAATAAACTTTAGAGAAATAAAATTATCAAATTAGGAATCCCAACCTAATAATCTTTCCATTGATTAATTGACCTACAAATGTATATTGCATTTTTTGTCATCTACCTAGCTTCTTCGGCGATTAGGATATCGAGTAGGTGGAATTCGAGAGGATATTCAATGCCATATTATCAATATTTCTACGGAAGCTTTCTTAGGCCCAGTTGCTAAAACGATATTCTTGTTTGACAATGCCAATTTTATGTCCGATTTAATATTATGTAGGTGATAATGTAATTCATGCTATAATTCGCATACAGGTGAAGCTAAGTCAAATTCAAAAGTTTCCTACACGGCAAGATTTTTATTTTTGGTCATGTCTAAGTTTGTCCCAACTGGGGCTGAATAAACATGATAGTTTCAGTATTTTGTTATTTATCAAGGAGAAGAAAAACTCAGAATGAAATTGTGAAAAAGAGCAACTCAGAAAAGAGGTATACCTGAGATTCGTAAATGAGCAAAGTTGAAAACAAGAGTAGACCTGCGATTCGTAAATCAACAAATTTGTAACCTTTGCTTTGAGAAAATATAAATTTTGAGAGATGGATAGAGGGAGGCAGAGAGGAGTGCATTTGGAGACTAGGGAAAATCGATGAGTTGTGTTTTGGGAAAACAGAGTCTCTTTAGTTTTTGGAATTTTTAATTTTAGTATATTAGTTTTGGCGTCTATTTTTTAGAAAATAATTTTTTTTAACATTTCAATTTCATATTTGGCGGCATTTTCTCTCGCTCATGGCCCTCAATTAGAATTTGGGACCAGTTACTAATTTTTTTAGGGACCAGATTTAGCACCTTCGCAATAAAATACAGAATTAAGGACCACAATATAATTTCGTCCCAATACATATACTTTTAGAGACGAGATTACGTCCCTAAATATTGGTCGCAGATAAGCCTTTTTCTTGTAGTGAATTACCGTGAGTCTTAAATTGCAATTTATTTTGTGTTCTTATATAATACTACAGATGCTTTAATTGATGAATCTCGATATTGAGCAAGGATTAAGTTTGTTTTCGTGGAAATTACTTATGATTGAGCATTGGTGTTAGCTGAGATGAGTAGAAGTTGGATTAAGATTAGTTATAGTTGTTTCTCCCTTGCCGGGAAGTATTTAGTTTTACTGTCGAATCCCTTACCGGGATAGTGTAGCTTATTATTGATCCCTTGTCAGGACTCTTGGTATGGTTAATGCTAAAGGTATATAAATCTTATGTTGGATCAGGTTGCACGCCACAACAATACTATATATAGAACGGGTTGCACGCTGCAACAATGTTATGTTGGATCGGGTTGCACAACGTAACAATACTATATATAGAATAGATTGCACGCCGAAACAATGTTATATTGGATCGGGTTGCATGCCGCAATAGTGATATAAATGGATCAGGTTGCATGCCGCAACAGTGTTAAATCGCCGCAGCATCATTATTATGGTTTTGTTGTAAATCTTGAATTCTTCTCTCATATTTCTCTTAAGTTTCTGCTGGATTCGATATTTCCCCCGTAGCATGTACCCCTCCCATATTAATTGTTTATTCCTATTTATTTTCCGTTGTATATTATATAACTGCACAGATTTATCTGGACTCTGGTCCTAGCCTCGTCACTACCTCGTCGGGGTTAGGCTAGACACTTACCAGTACATGGGGTTGGTTGTGCTGATACTACACTCTGCACTATGTGCATATTCCGGAGCAGCTTTTGGACAGTAGCATTTGGGGAGCCTGCCTTCAGCCCAGATAGTGATCCCTAGGCAGTCCTGCAGGCGTCCGCAGGCCTGGCGTTCTCTTCTACTTTATTATGTACTCTGTTTTCATTATATTTCGAGATAGATTGTATTTCTTTCAGACATTTGTTGCAGTAATCTTAGTCCGTCCGTGATATTGTGACACCGGATTCCGGGTAGAGATGTGTGTTGTCATTATCGTACTGACCTTGGTTATTATATTAGATTAAGTCTTCCGTTTGATTTCATTTATCGTTAATATCTAAATGTTGGATACCTGTTAATTCAGATTGTTAAAAAGGGTTAAAAATGAAAGAGTTAGAAATTTTTTATGTTTAGTGGCTTGCCTAGCTTCTACGCGTAGGCGCCATCACGACTCCCGAGGGTGAGAAATCCGGGTCGTAACATAGAGGCTCAAGTTTACCTCCTCAAAAAATATACATAAGCAGCACGACTCAAGCACAAATAAGGGCTTTTTGTTAAACAATATCCTAAGGCATGATGTCTACGTGAATATCAAGACACAAAAGATAGGCAGTTTATTTTATAAACTCAGAAGTAATGGCACTATCAGTTTGTCTACTGATTTCTAAAGCCTGTTAAAACTAGAACGACATTAAGTAATAGAAACAGTTTTTCAGAGTTACAGGATTTGAAAATGCCCTATAGGCTTGCCTACACACGGAAATGATAACTACATTTTACATGGTAAAAAACAGGGCAGATTTTAAAAACAGATTCTTGAATCCCTATAGGTATTCTGTCTAATGGTATATTAAGGGAGTTTTTTTTGAAAGAGATCATTTCAGGGAAAATATTACACTAATTAATCCAGTTTCGAAGTTTACTAATCGTGGACTGGATTAACTTATTGATTTAAATCTATAGGCAGGATTTCTGGTGGTGTTCCCTATAGGCATGATATCAAGTTGTTTAAAACTGATTTTAGAAACTGGTAGGCATGATAACAAATGAAAGCACATATAAATATCCACTATAACAAAAGTTGGACTGGATCATATTCTATAGGCATGGTATCTACTTGTGAAGTTGATTTTAAGACCTATAACATGATTTCTATTATGGAACCACTTGAGACCTATAGGCATGATTTATAATATGGTAAGGTAAACATAGCAACATTATAAAGTCATATAGGCATGGTTTCTACCCGTATTATCCCGCAAATATGTAATTACCCATCCTTTTTCACTAGTTACCCCATATTCGTTTACAAATTATTATAGACCATATGAATGAATTACATAAGTAGATAAGAAAATTAAGAAGCTATTATATAGGGAGCCTACAAATAGGCCCAGATTTCCAAAGCCTCCAAAAGCCTCAAATGCCCAAATTCTATAGACAATGTCATTGTCTAGGTGCGTCAGAGTTCACTAAGGATCTCAAGGATCCTGGCAGTGCTCACAACTAGACTTGGTAACTAAATTGAGTAAGTGTAGTGTGGAAGGGCCAGTATCAGTGTGCCAGAGTTCAGAGGGTTCTCAAGAGGTTCCCAAGGCACTACACACACTGGAGGGGGCAGAACCTAGTGACTTAGAAGTAGAGTGGGAGTGCTTGACACAGTTTGAACGGTTTTAGTGGGAAAACAGTGTTTAAAAGAGATTTGCTTGAAATAATTTAATAAAACAACAGAGGAGTTATTCAATGAGACAATTTTGAAAAGAGTAGGGCAATCAACAAACAACAGACCAACTTCAAAACCAAAACAGGTTCAGCATCACACATTGAACGAAGAACCAAGGCAGGTTTAGCACCACAAGCCTTCACATAGGGCTAAATGGAAACTGGGGATAGGTGAAGCACATAATGGTAAACACATAGCAGGCAGATATGCTCAGAACACTGGTTAGACAGAGTCACAGAATTAGCAATGCTTAAAGGGTTCAGTATAGTATCAACATAATTTAAAATCAATCCCAGAATCATACAAGTTTAGGAGTGCAAACTACTTTACAAGGAAATTCATACCAGAAAATAGATAGAGCAAGTTACATGGAGACAGACTACATAGAAGGGGTAACATGCTCATACTGATCCTAAGGAAGGGGAGTACATAACATTCTAATCATGTAAACATATTAACTACAGGTTTCACAGCAAAACCATACGTAAAAGAAAACTAGAAACAAGATGAATTGAAGTAATAAAAGGACCATATTATTTTTGGAACTTGAATTGAAATTAGAACATACCAGTAATGAAGATAGTAAACACAAAGGAACAAGAGAGTAGAGTAATCAGCCTTGGCTTGTAGCCAGCTGACTTAGAATAATAGCAAGTAACCAGAGAAAAGAGAGCAGAAGAGAGTTTTTGTGTGAGAGAGAGTGTTGAACCAATGTGTTCGTGTGTTTGTGTTAATGAGAGAGTATGTATATATAGTAGTTCGAAACTAGGTAAAATAAGGCAAGGATCACAATAGTATAGTAATTATGGAACTCAGAACCAATTAGAGCAAAATTAGGACAAGTACTCCCTTAAGTTAATGGAATCAATTCAAACGGTAAGACAAGTAACAAATAAGGAAAGAAATCAGTGTATGACTAATAAGGAAAGATTTCAAATTCAGTAAGTATAGGGTAAACAATTAGGCTAAGTTCAGAAAATTCTAATTAAGAAAATAGTTAGTAAGAATAAAGTGTGCCACAACAGACAAGGTACGCGAATCAGTTAATTTGAATAGAAAGGGTAGAAATTTAGGGTTTAAGGGAAGGTCATCCAATCAAACCATGAAATAGGGAATCCAAAATCAATCAAAAAGGAAGTCATGATTCAGTATCCAGCATATAAATAGAGTAAGAATAACCAGACATAGCAAACATGCAGGTTAAACCGCACTGGTAGAAAGAGGCAAATCTGAATAGTCAAGATGAACATAAGTACATAGAGTAGGTATAAGTTAGGCTAATAACTCAGTAGGAACATATTCGAAACAAGATAGTCACAGAAACTCAAACAAGCAACGATCAGTCATGCTAGCACACAGAACCAAACAAAGAAAATCTAAAAAATTAGGGCTTTCAACATAGGCGAGTTGAAGAGGTAGTAAAATCACAGAATCAGTCGAAATATGCAAGAAATAGAAGTTTAAACATAGAAAATTAGTTTAAACAAAGTATTAACAGAAGTTCGGAAACCCTATTTTTTAGAAGAAGACGAAAACACTTGAAATCACATGATTCTTGTAAACAGTTCCAAGGACAATGTAAAACATTAAGGAAACCCTAGGTGCAAGCCGGCTTGGCCTTGGGCCCTTGAAGACCTTACAGAAGGCAAGCATGGCATGAGAGAAGCCATTGGAGGCTTAGGAGTCGATGAGAGATCATCGGAGAAAACCGGAGAAGAGAGGTCGGCGGTTGAAGGGCTAGGATTTGATTGAGTTGCTGAGAGAGGAGAGGAGATGAAGAATACAGAGGCGGCGGGTTTGGGAGAATGAATTAGGGTTAGGGGTCGTTTAGAGTTAAAAAGGCAAGGGTTAATACGGGTCGTTGATTTCTTAGATCAACGGCCATGATTTAATGGGTTCTGGGTCGGGTATTTTAGCCTAAAATTGGGCTTGGTATTGGGTTTAAATGAGGCTATGATTGCAATACAATCTGGCTATATTTTAAATAGCCAATTTATCCCTATATTATTTATAATAAATAATAGATAATTTCTGAAAAATAATTTTGTATACTAAACTGATTTAAAATAGATATTTAACATTCTAAAAATATAGAAGATCAATTTTATGCATATAAATGTAATTATACATTAATAAGGCTAATATTGCAATTATATGTAATTTAGCTTTAAAAATACAAAATGCAATTATAAAAATGCACTAAAAATATTTTCACAATATTTTGGCATAAACATA